AGGGATAGATATACTCAACATTTCTGAAACAACTCTGTCCGAATTCAACCACAGATGCAGTGCAATCCTTATCAAAAGTCCAGAAGGATTTTTTTTATTTTTGTAAATATTGGCAAACTGATTATGAAATTTATATGAAAAACCAAAGAGCACAGACCATCCCAAATATTTTGATAAAGAGGAACAAAGTTGAAGGACTCCCATTCCCTGGCTGTATGAATTCCTACAAAGCTTTAGTAATTAAGTGTACAGAACTGATGTAAGAAGATGACATATAGATCACTTTACAAAACAGATAACTCAGAAATGGAATCAAACACATATGATCAACTGATTTATAAAAAATGATCAGGTGATTTTATGAAGAAAGGGTAATCTTCTTAACAAACAGTACTGGAACAATTGGAGACCATATGCAAACCAACCAACCAACCAGCAAAAAAACCCCACAAAAATGACCCACACACTTTATCCATATATAAAATTCAGCTTTAAATGGATCATAGACCTGAGTGTAAAAGCTAAACTATAAAAGTTCCAGAGAAAAACATAGGAGAAAATCTTTATAACTATGAACTTAGCTAAGATCACTAGATAGGAGCTTGAAGTATAAGTCATTAAAATTTTTATAAATAGGAATTCTTCAAAATTAAACACTTCTCTTTGAAAATCAATAGAAAATGGAAAGACATGTCACAGAATAGGAGCAATGATTTACAAACAAATATATGATGAACTTTTAGCCAGAATATATAACAATTTCTAGTAAACCAATAATAAAAAACAAGTCAATATAAATAAACAAAATCCTGAACTTTTAAGAACTAATATAGATTGTCTAAGATGGTGGCATAGTCAAACGCCTGTACTCACCTCCTCCCACAACCCCATCAAAATTACAACTAAAATACAGAACAACCATCATCCAGAATTGATGGAAAGCTGGCTGAATAGAAGTCCTACAATGAGAGAAGCAAAGAAGAAAGCACACTGAAACTGGTAGGAGATGCGGAGGTGCAGAACAGGCTAGTCTGCCACCCACGTGTGCTGCTTTTTTAATCAGAAGGGAGATCTTCTCTGCAGAGGCTGCCCAGAGGAGCAAGGGGTCCCACCCCACACCAGACCTTCTGCCCAGGGTCCCTAAGCTGGGAAAAGAAGTCCCTATGGGCAGTAAGAACTACAGGCTGTGAAAACCAGTGTGGATTGGGGCTCAGTGACACAGAGGCTGCTGGAGACCCAGCTGCTCCTCTTAAAAGGCTAGCACCACAGCTGAACTTACATGCTCCCGCTCCCTCTGAGCTCCAGTGCTGGGCCAGGCTCTGGAGGACCCAGACACATACGAGGAGGAACTGGACTGTCTGGAATCTGGGCAGGAACTTGGGGGCAGCTTCCTTCCAGACAGAGGTGCTCTCAAGGATCATTGTTCCTATGCTGGGACCTCTCCAGTCACAGGGCTGACTGGCAGCCATTTCCTTTTGCTCCAGCCTGGTGATTCCGTGAGACCCCAGCTCATCCAATTTATAACCTCACCCAAGCGGTGTGCAGCAGCTTTTACACATTAATAGCCTTTCCTTACTCAGGGCAAAATCTCTCAAACAAGTTGCAGCTGGATTAGGGAGCCCAAAATCTATCAATAAAAGGTCCAAGACCCAGACCCAGCACCAGCACCAGCACCAGCACCAGCCTGCCTTGCTTCAGAGATGAACCTCCTCTGGGCACTTCCAAACAGATACGAAGAGGAGGAATCTGCAGATGTCTCTGTACCTCCTGCTGGGTGGCCCTAGGCAGTGGCTTTCTTTGCATCTCCCTGGACACCCAAGAGCCAGTGTACCCAGTGGTCAGTGTGAAACCATACCAGATTACAAATCTACACATCCATAACCAACACACTCAAGGGGCAGACTCAGAGAGCACCAAAGCCTCACTGAAGCAAGTCCTGCTCCACAGGGGTGTCTACTGCACAGCAGCTCTCCTGCTGTAGTCGTAGCTGGTCCTCACAGCCAATTGGCCTGAGGTCAATTCCTCCCAGTGACACCAACAGCAATCAAGTCTCAATTACAAGACTGCTCACAGCCCTCAAAGCGGTGCACCTAGAGCTCCCAGCTCAGGTGACTGGGGAGGCTGAGCCACTAAGGTCTATAGAACACCTACTATTACACAAGGCCACTTTACCAACTCAAGGAGACATAGCAGCTCTACCCAATACATAGGAACAAACACAGGGAAGTAGCCAAAATGCAGAGACAGGGAGGAATGTTTCAAATGAAAGAAATGGAAGAGAGAAGACTACTGGATATAGAGTTCAAAACCATGGTTATAAGGTTACTCAAGAATCTTCTAGAAACTTCCAAAAAAAAAAAAAAGAAAGAAAGAAAAAAAGGAAAAGAACCATTTAGAAATTAAGCATATACTGACTGAAATAAAGAATAATATACAGAAATTCAGGAGTGGAGTGGAGGTTTGTGAGAATAAAATCAATGATTTGAAATATGAAGAAGCAAAAAACACCCAACCAGAAGAGCAAAAAGGAAAAAAAAATCCAAAAATGTGAGAATGGTATAAGGAACCTCTGGAACAATTTCAAGCATACCAAAATTTGCATTGTGGGGATGCCAGAGGAGACAGAGCAAGATATTAAGGACCTGTTTGAAGAAATAATGACAGAAAAGTTCCCCTACTTGCTGAAAGAAATAGACTTACAAGTCCAGGAAGCACAGAGAGTCCCAAATAAGAGGAACCCAAAGAGGACCACACCAAGACACATCATAATTAAAATGCCTAGGGCTAAAGATAAAGAGAGAATCTTAAAAGCAGTAAGAGAAAAGAAGTTAGTTACCTACAAGGGTGTGCCCATACAACTGTCAGATGACTTTTCAACAGAAACCATGCAGGCCAGAAGGGAGTGGCAAGAAATAAATAATAATAGCAAGGGCCTACTACCAAGATTACTTCACCCAGCAAAGCTCTAATTTAGAATTGAAGGTCAGATAAAGAGCTTCACAGATCAGAAAAAGTTAAAGGGATTCATCACCACCAAACCAGTATTATATGAAATATTGAAGGGTATTCTTTAAGAAGAGGAGGAAGAAGAAAAAGATAAAAAATATGAACAACAAAATGGCAACAAATGCATACCTATCAACTATTGAATCTAAAAATCAAAATAAACAAATAAGAAATCTAACGAACAGAATAAACTTGTGAATAAAATAGAATCAGAGGCATGGAAATGGAATAGACTGATGATCCTCAGAGGGAAGGGGTTGGGCGGGTGGGAAGAGATGAAACAAAGATCTTACATGCATATATGCATTACATTTGGACACAGACAATAGGGTGGCAAAGGCCTGGGCGGGCGGGAACCTGGTGGATGGGGGCAATGGGAGGGGGGAAGAGGGACATCTGTAATAATCTCAACAATAAAGATTAAAAAATAAAAAATAAAGAGAATGCTGTACATAGGTGGATTGGGTATAATAGAATTGGTACCATATTAACAAAAAAGAACTAATACAGATTGTAAATAATAAGTACATGGGGAGATGCTACTTGGACATTAAAAATGTAAATTAAATTACTGTGAGCTACTACCATGCGATATCATATCTACTAGACTGGCTAAATAGGAAAAAAAAAAGATAGTATCAAATTCGGAGAAAGATGAAAACAAAGGGAACTCTAATAAATTGTCGGTGTAAAGACCTCCCTCCTAACTTCAGTCTCCTTCTTTTACATTCCATTCCTATTTTTATCTACAGCCATTTCTCATGATCCATAGAGGAAACATGCTCACTACTTCCTCTCAGTTGGTAAAAAATTTCCCCCCAAATTTCCTAGATAAACTTCCTTTCATTTATCAAATGACTTTCCAGTGGGCTTCAGTTTCTCTCAGTCTCTCCAACATCATGTGGACCAAGGATTAAGGAAGTTTTCTCAAATCCTACTTTCAATTTTTGCATAATTAAAATGTCATTCTTACTCTGAAACTCATTCTTTGCATCCCAACTTCACTACTTGTTTCAACCTCTTGCAAATATTACTACAACAGTTATAGCCTTTCTAGATTTTAAGTCCACTTACATTGCTAATTGACTATGACATTGAGGTTCATGGCTCCTCCAATCCATTCACCTCATGTTTTTTTTTTTGTTTTTTTTTAATATATTTTATTGATTTTTTACAGAGAGGAAGGGAGAGAGAGGGAGAGTTAGAAACATCGATGAGCGAGAAACATCGATCAGCTGCCTCCTGCACATCTCCCACTGGGGATGTGCCCGCAACCCAGGTACATGCCCTTGACCGGAATCGAACCTGGGACCTTTCAGTCCGCAGGCCGAGGCTCTATCCACTGAGCCAAACCGGTTTCGGCTCACCTCATGTTTTAAAGACCTCTTTGATCCACCGTACACTCTATCACTGTGACAACTAATTTGCCAAGGTGGTCACAGGTGGTCACCAACCACATATACCCTATGTCTTATCACAGCATCTTTACCATGCATTTCTTCCATTCTGCTATCCTCATTGGATTGTCTTTTTGCTCTTCCTATAACCTCAGGTACACAAATACTACCTTTTTGATCACAGTTAATTCCTTTTCCAGCTTGAAGTACATGATTAGCTATTTTCATAAAATTCTTGCACTTGTTTGAACTTTCATCAGATCCTTGATGCTAATTTTCCACCATGGCTATACTACTGACTGTTTCCTTAGTTTCAGTGTTCTTCCATAGAATGTTGCTGGAGAGCCACAGAAAAATAATGACACAGTTTTCTTCAAAGTAGTGCCCACTTGCACCAATTAGGCCTTCATTGTTATCCAGCAGTGCTTTTAATCATCTTTTGGTGAATTATTCTGATTTGATTAGTCCTTTCCCATCATTCTATTGAACAGAGTTTTAAGTGCAGCATTTAAAATTAATTTATTATGTGAATTTCCTTTTTTGGTACATTATTCCATTGGAAACATACAATAAATAAATGAAATCACTCATACTCACTTAGAAATGGGATTGACACTGGCTTCAATAATTGTTAAACACTTACAGCACTTTATGCTCTCTGGAAAATCTTGTACACCTAAAATGTAAAAGAAAAAATACATGAAAATGTTCCAGTCAAAATTCTCTAAGCTATAATGATAATATTAAGAATAATTAATTATACAGTATAAACACTGTGGGTATTATTATTTAAGTAAAAATAATAATTTAATGATATATATATTTTCATCATAGATACATATTTTATGATAGCTATAATTGGAAATTGGATACAAATTTGAAGACAATTGTGTGTTTGGTATAAGATAGATCTTGACTCTTTACATATCGAAAGAAATAAAAATAGTTTGGATTTATTTAGTTATTATAGTGCCTTTACAGGAAAAAGGGGAAATCAGCAGATACAAGAAAACAGAAGATAAAAATATTTGCTCCCTTCATTTTATAAGATTGGGAAGATTGAACACATGCATCTGAAAAATACCTAAGGACAAATCACATAACCAATGGATATTCCCAAACGAATACTGTGCTCTAACGAATCTTGTGCAATTCTTCCTGTTGGCACCGATGCAGCTCTGCATCTGCCTGGAGGGTGAAGAAGTGAGCAGCCCTTCCCAGGTCCTCTGGAGGCTCTGAGATAGCAGCCTCCATAGCTGCCCTTGGAGAACTGCTCATCTGCTGTCACAGCTGTGCTGTTGGCGATGTGACAGAAAAACACAAGTTTTTCTTCCTGAAAATTAGCCACAAAACCGAATCCGAAACATGAGTGTCAGGAATAAAAGATGTGGAGGGCATTTCAGTCAACTGATACCAATCAATCAAATATAGTAGCCCCTGCAAACGTTTAGAAGAGACAACAGCTACTAGTATATGGAGCAATTCCTATGTGTCTGCCGTACTACCTGCTCTCAATTTCTGAAACTGTTATTAATGATATAAGAATGTCCACAGAATAGCAGTCCTCCTGAATACTTCATATCTGACAGAGGGAGGAGAAACATTTTGTGACAGGATTTAGTTGAACTTTTGTAGATAGATACTTAAGAAAGAAAACCCTCCTCCGCCTGGCTAGAGTCAGCGACCTAAACCACGTGACCACAGGACCCGGACACCCAGGAAGCAGCAGGTGGTTCATTCAGTGTCAAGTAGGGTGGAGGACATTTCTCATGCTATTCTTCCCTACGTGAAAGTTCATCAGAAAGCATGCTGTCCTCACATTATTGCTAAAGTATGTTGCCTTCTTAAGGAGAACCCAAGTTTAGGAGCTCCATTCTGTATGAACTGAATGAGAAAGAACAATTCTCCTTTTTGGAAAGATGTAACACCCAGAGCTGCCCTCATTAACTAGACATTAACAAAATGTCAAAGAAGTCAATAAGCTAACCCTGGAACTATCCTCCACATTCTTCCTTAGTATTTATATTTACTTTGGATGTCTGCAACCAACAGGGGGTAAGGCTTCTATTTTCCTCCCTTTAGATCTTTCTGTTCAGTCACCAATCTGGGCTCATTACACACTGTGCCCGATGCCGTCGGTCCACACTGCCATAGAATGATATTTTCTGAAAGTATGTGTAAACCAAAATATGAAAGCAGAGCAAAACAGAACACGATATTAAGGAAAAGACTATGTCTCCTTATCGTCTACTGAAAAAGGAATTCCCTGCTGTGTTGAAAATGCTGCTACATTATTTTTTGTAAAACCTGTATTATGTTCACAGTTTAAACCTTAAATTGTTCAGAGCAGAGTCTCTTGGATTAAGATGGAATCCTAACTTTATTACTCAAACAGGTCGGGTAACCTTAGGCAAGTCATTTAAATGTATAATGTTCTAATTTCCTATTCTAAAAAATGGTGATTAAATGAATGGTTTCATCAGAGAGTTGCAGTGAGGATTAAAAAAAGATAAATCGGATAAAGTAATTAGCAGGAAGTGCTGCATAAATGTTATCTATAGTTATTAGAAATAAATAGCAGCAGAGGGTAACAGTCAAAAAGGAACCAACAATCAGGTGAGAACGAGCTGGCTTGAGGTATAAACTTGTAAAATTTATTGAGTTAGGAAAACACAGCAAAGTGGTAGGAATTAGTATGATGGAAGAATATCCCAATATTTGATCAATATAGTTGCTGACATAAATGCTCTTGCAGATGGGGGATAAGTTATAAAAAGATATGTATGAATATGCATATTTATACATATATTTATATCTTATAATATAAAAATATAAGGTATCCCAATAATGTATACACACACTTTGAATAATTACAAATGTGGTGTTTTTTTAAAAAACACATTTCATTGTCAAAATTGAGCTATCAGCTGTTAAAGTGCGTATACATTTTTTTGGGACATGCTGTATAACTAGTTTGTACTGAGCAATATTTTTATATTTTTGCTGAGGTTCTTATAGCTATCTTAATTTGCTTATGAGAGCTGGGATTTTTGAATTTAGGAAAAGTTCTTAGAACATAAACCCATCTTGTAGTTCAGTCTAAACTTGGAGAGGTAAGATAGCGTAACAGTTAAAAGCACAGGTTGGCAAGGTGACTGAATCCCTGTGTTATCACTTAACTAGCCATGTAATTTTAGACATTATAATATTTGAGTGTTATGAGTATTAGCTGGTATTAATGTAAAGCGCTTAGTAGCATGTCTGGCACTTAACACGTACCTAATAAATACTATATAAAATTCACATATTAATAAAATGAAAGGTAACAAACTTCTCTATGCCACTGTATAAAATAATTTCATTCTTCTATTAATCTTGTGAGGAAGATATATTAAGCAACATTATTTTCATTTCATGGATGAAAAACCACACATTCACAAGAATTAAGTGACTTACTTAAATACTTAATGAGTGTTTATAGATGGAAATGGATATAGGTGGGATTTAATTCAGTTTTTCAGCATCATATCTCCTGTTCCTCTTTACCCCATTATGTTACTTCCTATTAAAATGATGTTAGACTTATTGTAGAACTCACATTTTTATTACCAATCTTTGAGATTGGTCTGTGTGATACTCTGAAACACAGTATCTTTGAATAATTAAAAAGGCCATATATATATATATATATATATATATATATAAATTATATGTTAAATATACATACATACACATTTTCTGAGATGGATTATGTACTGATTTTCAAATTTATTTATTCAGAATTAGGGAGATAAATATCTTTTACTTTTATAATTATCTTATTCCAATTTTTTTACTTGTGATTACTGGAGAAAATCAGATCAAATATTTGTAGACGATACCTAGTACAACGCAAGTTCTAATCCCTATTTTTCAGTTGACACCTCACATAGGCTTTCTAATGCAGCCCTTATTTAAGGGCATCACTATTGTATTCTTTTGGGAATCCCTGGAGATTCAAGCTCATTATGTTTAGACTAGATTCAAACCTAGGCTGAACAACCAATGAGGAATGTATCCTAAACTAGTTACACAAGAAGCACTGTGTTTTATAAGCAAAATGGTATATTTATTTTTAAAAATGGACAACTGCCCTATTCACAAATAGCAGATGACATCGATAAATGTTTACCATCCAAATTAGGACATTGCAGTAATATTTTCCCAATATGTTTACTTCAGTAACTATATCATAAAATCTCTTTTGAATATGTCCACATAAATACTGTCAAATGAGAAATGACATTTCTGCATTGGAACTTAAAATACCTTAGAAACAAAGATCCTAATGCAATGGAATTATTGATAATTGCATTAACAAAATATGAATATCTTTAAGAAGAAAAGACATAATAGACTTCTTTATCTGTTTTCTTTGCCCTTTCCCTTTTAAATAAATTAGGTTGAAAAAATTCCTATTCAACTTTCAATTATTCAAAAACGACTTCACTTTGTGCAGTTTTCATTCTTGTTCACTTTCCTGCTGCCTCCATTTGACCACTTCACTGCTGTGCAGAAGGGAGAGGGAAGAATTCTGAAATCAATCCAATCTGAATCTTTTCTGCCTAGCATGGAAAAGTTGAAAGTCATGGCTAAATTGAGGTTTTAGTATACAGTATTCAGTTAATTGTTTTCACCTTGACTACCCTGTTTATTACTAATACAGACAAATAGGTCTCACAAAAGGATTTTAAGACAGTAATAAATATAGTGTTCAGCCCTAGCTGGTTTGGCTCAGTGGATAGAGCGTCAGCCTTGGAACGGAAAGGTCCCAGGTTCTATTCTGGTCAAGGGCACATGCCTGGGTTGTGGGCTCGATCCCCAGTGGGGGATTTGCAGGAGGCAGCCAATCAATGATTCTCTCTCATCATGGATGCTTCTATCTCTTCGTCTTCCTTCTTCTCGGAAATCAATAAAAATATATTTGAATAAATGAATAAATATAGTGTTCAACTTTATTTAATTATAAAAAAAGGATTGTTGAGGAAAGATTGGCTTCAGAAATGAACAGGCATAGTTCATCTGCACTAATAAGCAAAAATCAGAGAATATGGGTGCAGATGCTGGTCTATGGGTACATATGATGGTAACAGTCTATGGAAGTTATCTTCTAAGAGTGTTAATATTCTCAGTGGAGTAGGATGAATAGCCGTGAAGATGGCGATGAAGTGTGGAAGGCTTGAAGACAGAAGAAAATATGTGACATAGTCACCAGAAGAGGAACATCGATGGATAAAAGAAGTTGGGAAGCATGAAAGCTGTACTTAGATGTTGCAATCATGAACCTAAAGTGATACCAACCAGCGTAACTAAGGATTTTCCCCAGTTCCTTTCAGCAATAGGTAGAGTTGGGTGCAGCCAGAATTATAATTTTATTGAGCATACACAGTGACATGAGATAAAAGCAAGGGTGTCATCTAACGGGAGTCATCTAATGATTAAGCATGGCATTTAAGCCATGCAAAAAGGGCAGAGAAAACATCAAAAGGGAAGAAATCCTGAGAAGGTGGTGGCATTAATAGATTGGTGGTTCTGCTGGAGTCAAAGGGTGGCTGGAATAGTAGAAGAGGTATTCTAGAAAGACAGGATGGAGCCAATAAGTAAATTTTTTCAGTTGACATTCAATATCTTGACAAT